CAAGTATTTTTACATAATGCCAAGTGGCGTCCCTATAATTATAGGGCCCATGTGACCCTGTTAAAAAGAAGAATAATGTTATTTAATTCTCGTAAAGTTATAACTTAAAAAAACCAAAAAAAAATGATTGAACCCCAACCTTGAGGATTCTCGCCGCCTCGCCTCTAGAATTTTGTGAGGGAGGTAAATCGCGGGATGTACCCTAGCAGGCCAGAGAACAAAAGCTATATGTTCCATGTCTCAGGAATCGAATCCCCACACTGCAGCTGCCAGCAAGGCATGAAATAACCTCACTCCTGTCATTTGCACCATTGGGCTATATTTCAGGGGGCAAAAGGAAAAAAAAAAAGAAAAAAGTTATAACTTAAATTTATGTGACATTAATATGGCATTAAATGACAAGTTAATTATTAAAAAAAAAGTATTTTCTTGGTGAATACTAAATGCATACAAGTCGAGACAGAGTTTTAATTTTATTTGCGTGTCCAAATTAAGTTTTATTCACTTCTCCAGTGAATTTAAGATCTTATTCCAAGAAACTCTGATCCGATTCTAAGCCTATGTTTAGGAAGAATTCACAAATAAATATAAACGAGTAATGTATAATTGGATAATACTTGCTAATCATTTAAATATGTGGATAAAAATAAGATTGGAATAATCTATAGTTAATTCATAAATTTTGCTAAACAGTGGGTAATGGGATGTCATCAACTAAGATTTTGATGGATTTTAAAAGAAAAAAATCTTTAGCCCCGTTTGATTCTCATTTTTAATAAAAAATATATTTTTCTTTCTCTTCTTTTTAACCACATTTTTCATTAAAATAATATTATACGTAAATAAAAAAAAAATTCTTATTTTTTATCTACACATTTGCCATCAATCTACTATTTTAAAATTTATTTTTATATAAAAATGGGTGTCAAACACCCTCTTAATGAATTTTGTGGATTTAAAAAAATTTCCAAAATTTTCATAAAAAATACAATCAAATATGGTAAATTTCAAAATATTTGGTTATATACGTATTGGAATCTATTCAAATTTTTTAAAATTAAAATCTCAATAGAATTCATCACAATCTCAATTGTTAACAGGCCCACAACCCACTCAGTTCGCACGTCACCCACTTTTGACCCACGAATACGCGTAACGGTTGAATTCATCCTTAAATATGTACACCCACACAGTCTATCATATTCCTCTACCCTCCTGTCCAACCTTAAATCCCAAGAAACCTCGAATAACATAAAACCAGTCGATCCCAATTCCTTAAAACCCATCTCAAGTTTTCTGAAATTCGATACCTTTTTTATACACTAGTGACAGAAAGATATGATGAAGAAGCCTTCTAAATTTTTGTTCTTCTTCAAGAGGCTAAACAAGACAGCCAGCAAGGGAGAAGGCGGAGACGTTGGCAATAGTAGTGGTGCAAGCAGGTGGAAGTTCAAGAGCTCCACCGGGTTGCGGTGGAAGAGGCGGTTCAGCTTGCATCTTTGGTTCGTGGATGATATTCTTTTCAAGATTGTATCCATTTTTGAAGCTATAATTTTGGTTGCAACTCTCTGTTTCTTCTTCCTGTGCTGCGGCTGCCACCTCTGATCATTTTCTTGATATTCCACTTATAAGCACCCTTTTTGCTTATTTTCAGGTCTTGAATTAATATGTAAGGGTCTTTAATTAATGGGCCAATGATAGTGTCAAATGACCATTCTCTCGACTTGGCTACTACATTTTTTTAAATTAGTTTTAATGTTTATCGTATTCATTATTCTTGTTAGTTATATGTAGATTCAATGTTTAGTGATGTAAAGGATCTATTTTATCTAATAAAAATTTGAAAATTTTTCCAAAGCATTTGTTCTAAAACTATGTCACTATCTTGAGAAGAAATAGCTTTTAAGCTACTTTAAAACATGGCGAAAAACTGCCTGTATTTGTTATTCGTATACAAAACTTTGAGTCTAGTCATTTTTTAATAAAATATATGACAGTTCATTTAAATAAGTGATAATTACAGTAGAGGCTTCAAACTTTTCAAACATTTACGACTTTCCCTATACCTTTCAATCACTACAGCCGTGGTCCCTAACTTCTTGAAACATTGCGGTTGAACCTCTAATGAATGGTTTCCATTTTCCATTCAATCTGCCATTGTTGACCCAAAAAATAGATTTTGACCATATTTTTTTAATTTTAAAAGCGCAAAATGATAAGTTTATATTTTCACATAACATAAAATAATTAAAAAACTTAAATTAGAAAGAGCAAAAGAAAATTTTATCTTCTTCCCCCACGCCACACCCCCGAAATCCCCTTCAGCGACCGGCACCACTACCTGTCAACACCACCACTGGTTGGACATATTTCTATTTCTTTTCCAAAATTCCTCACAGACACCGCAACGATGGCACCCCAGAATTCTTCATCGATAAAAATACAATCCTGGCCAAAAATTTGATTTTTTATACCAAAATCAATGTACTTAATCCTTCATCAGACAATTCTCTCAACTCGTCCATCTCACTGGTATTTTAAGAATTCATCTTGTATTTTCTTATAAATACAGAAGAGTTGGATGGCAGACAATGGATGCAATTTTGTGGTTGACTAAATCCATAATGAGTTTTTGTACTGCCAATAATTGGAGCACCCTCTGGACACAGAATATGCTTGTTATTTGGGATTGGACCGAATTTTCTCCATTTCTATCAGTCCCAAGCAAAGCCTCCAGGATGTGCCCATAAAACTAATTTAATATAGTTTTCAGGGATTTTGTGGGATGGATTATTGGGGTTTGAGAGATGAGGTTTGCAGCTGCCATTGTTGGAGCTCAAGTGAAAAATGCAATGGACAATAGTGGTTGGTAAATGCAAAAGTACTAATTTACCCTTTCTAAATTTGTGGTCAAAGTCAAATTTCTTGATCAACTAACAGACATTATGATGAATTCCATCCATTGGGGCTTTCGTTACAACGTCTCAAAAGGTTAGGAGTCACGACTGCAACGACTGAAAAGTTCAGAGAAAGTCTACATATATTTGAAGAGTTTGAACCATTAACTGCAATTATCCCTTTAAAATAATGGTCAAATGTAAAAATGTTGGGAACATCTGCAAGTGACATTCGTAATTGGCAAGCTTTGGTTGTTAGCTTTATTTAACAAAGTTGAAACAGCAAACAAAAGATATTATGTAGAATTCTGTAGACAAATCAAGTTGCTCAAACGTGCAAGCATACATTTAGCCAGGTTTCCAAAATTTTGATCGATAATTTCGAGATGTGACCATCCTTTTGGCCATCAGTGAGAGCAATATCAAATGCTTGCTATCTTATCAATATTCGTTGATTATCACGGTTGATATTAAAAATTGACATGTCACTTCACGATCAACTTAAAAATATTTAACTCGCTTAAATTTGAGTGAAGTAAAGATGTGATATAATTGGAATTTGTTAATGTGATACACATTGATTCATAAGTTATGTCCTTTTCATTGGCCTTTCATCACTTTATATAGGCCATGGACACAAGCTTGTCGTCCCCGTCATCTTAATCATGTCAAGCTACAATATTCGACTTAGAGCCATGTGCCACCACCCGTCTTGAAGGTATTTGATTGGCAAGAATATTCGATTGAGGTGAACTCATAATGACATATAGGCTAAGTGTTGTCTCGATTGGTCGATTAAGACGTCATTGCTATCGGTACGAGTACTTCATACGCCATGTCATAATGATGTTTCCATATAAAGTCTCTCATTAACCGACGATGACTTGCATTGACAGGTCTTGGGTCAAGATTTCAAACGAACAAGTTTAATGAGTACATATAATACAACTATAATAATAATACTCCATCGTCTCATTTATATAAGTTGACTTTCTTTATTTTCTTATCCCAATTATATAGTCATATTTCTTTATTGAGAATGTTTTATTTTATTTGTTTACTAATATACCCTTATTTAATCTTAAAATTGTAGAAATATAAATAAGAATAGACTAAGAAAGTTTTTGGCAAAAATTGTTTTTCAATAACGTTAAATAAGATTTCTTAATTCGTGTAAAAAACAAAGCCAGCTATAAAAATGGGATGAAAGGAGTATCACATTATCCTACTTAAATAAGATCACAAATTAAACATGTACTCAAGTAAAAAGAGTTACAACTACTAATGACTAATAATTAATTATCTTTACTACCTAATTATTGTTAATTATAAAAGACTGATTGACTCCAAATAAATGAACAAAGAGCCATGGTAAAATTTAATTCATTTTTCTTTATCTTTTTATCCACTATACATTTTTCAATAAAATAATATTACACATAAGTTCGAAATATTTTTTCTTTCTTTTTTAACCACACATTCTTAAGGGAAAAAATTCAAAAATTATAATCCCAAATACTAGGGGCCAAACGGGACTTAGCAAGGAAGTCTTACAATTACGAGTACTTGTGGCGAAGTGTAAATAGAGAGAGAGAACAAAAAAAGATTACAATGAATTGTACCAAGCTGTCGTAATCCAAACATAGGAAAAATCCAATAATTTGGAGGCGGCTTGTTTCCAGCTGTATTGGGCTCTAGAGGAAGGAACGGTCTTCAAATTATATTATAAACAAGTCCACGTCAAAGAGAGAGCAGATTGACCGACTGACTTGTATAATTTTTACTTGGTAATACTAATACACGCAGGTCTGGCTGGCTACGGGCATTTTGTGGTAGTTCTAATGTGACCAAGTCCAGCATTCATATTTCGTATAATGCTCCTCTACCAGACCTCGTAGTGGAGCTCTCTCACAAGAATGAATCCCACATTGTTAAATAAATACAAAAAAAAACCACCGCCACCTCCCCAAATGTGAGTGAAGCCGCTCTACCAGGCTTCTTACAGCCCTGGTAGAGCAGCACAGTCCTTCATATTTCATACTCAAAATTAGTATTTACCGCTTCACTATCAAAATTAGGCAACGTCCACCCTTTCAGCTTATAAATGAAACCAAAATAGCATTTTTATTAAACTACCATGTAAAACTTGTACCCCAAAGTTTAACAAAATCATTCTCCGGATCCCGATCTAATCAGCATCAGTTCAAATATATCCAATGGAAAATTGACGACAGATCTAAGCAGTAAACTCAAAATTATTACAGAAAAATACAAACAAATCCAGCAACTTGCAGAATAAATATGAAGCAGCCGCAGTAATCCAGATACAGCTCGACAAGCAAAGTTGCTATGGCCACAAGGGAAACGCTAGCAACATGATCAGGGCTTGAATGCAGAAAACGCCACGACAGAGTTGTGTCCACCAAACCCGAATGAATTTGAAATCGCTGAATTTGGTAGCATGCAGAAAAGAATTAGAAGCCATGCTTAACAAAGTGGTCCAACGAAATTTAAACTTTTCTACTATAGTTAACCATCCAAACGGAATGAGATATGGCAGGAAACACATTAAAAGCATCTTACCAACATTAACTTCATGCGGCTGCTTTTGGTTTGCAACCGTGTCAAACTCAACTGAAGGCTCTGGATTCTGAAATGACAATCAAAAAAATTGTCATCAAGCCAATAAAAAACGACGAATAATCAGTCTCAAATGAACTTGCTATATGAATAAGGCATAAAACAGAAGAACCAAAGAGATATGAACTAGAATTTGAAGACAACGGTATTGATTATCAAGAACGAAATGAACTTACAAATTGATTTATTGTGGGATGCAGCCAGCCTGTTGTTATGGCTTTAACTGTTGCAATAGCTTCCAGACCACCAGCAGCACCAAGGCAGTGCCCGATCATAGACTGCATAAAAGAAGAAGTGAGACGCAAGCAACGACCTAAAAACTATTGCTCTATGATCTACTTGAATCAATAATTCAACATCAATAAAATTCTGCAGAAAAGTACAGATGCAAGTGATTCTATCCGCGTGTCCATGTGTGTTAAGTGTAAGAACTCAACTGTGCAAGAATCAGACTTACCTTAGTTGCATTCATTTTGATCTGTGAAGTGTTCTTGAATACCTTCTTAACAGCATTCACCTCAGCCAAGTCACCCACTATTGTGGAAGTTGCGTGGGCATTAATGTAGTTAACCTGAAAAGAAAGACAGGATCTTGTTGATTACTTGCTTTTTGTATAAAAATCCTTGAAGAGAAACGAAAACAAAATTCTCCGGAGTAAATTTAAGACGTTCATACTGCAGATGGCAAAAACCACAATCTGTTTCAAGAACAATTTTCAAATGACTTTTATGATTTATTTTTCTTTCTCGATGATGCTTCAGTTTAATTCTGATATAGCTCATCAAAATTTCCTAAGACTTACGTGGTGAATGAAACTATCAGTATAAAAACAGAAGCAAACTGTAGTTAACCTACGCCATCCACTGGAAATTGAGTTCATATTTTCAACTGAAGCTTAAAATTTAGAATTAATTTGAAGTGCAATATCAAATATTAGCCATAGGGAAAAATATGAAAATGATGTGTACATAACAAGTTAAAAATTGAGTTTGGTAGCAGAAATTACAGTATGAACTTATGAAAGGAATAAAACAATACCTCTTCTGGTGAGACACCAGCATCCTCAAGGGCACTCTGGATGCATGAAGACACACCAAGTCCATCAGATCGGGGATCAGTCATATGATAAGCATCACAGTTCACTGCACCTCCCAAATACTCTGCAATTATTGGCGCACCTCGTTTCATTGCATGTTCCAAACTTTCCATCACCTGTAAGAAGCGAAGGAAAACTACTTGAAATTTCTAGTTTCATTTCAGTTCACACCATGTCTTTTAATCGGCTAAATGGTGAAACAGGGCGGGAGAGGACAGACAAATCTATTAATGCACCTGTCAGCACCCAAAATAGATTTCTACTTGAAATGTCCTTCAATTTCACTTTTCAACATGCTAAAACAGTAAAACATAAGATTGGACAGATGGCACTGAGAAGATAGAAGGAATTAATCTAAAAAAGAAGCAAATGCTCCGGTGAACTACAATAAACCACATCAAAATTCATTTCGAATAGACTAAGCCCTTGTTTGAGCCCCATTTTTCTCATAAAAAATGTATTTTTGAATAGTGTATTGATGTGAAATGTGTGGTTAAAAATAAGGAAAAGTTTTGGATCTACGTGTAATATTATTTTATTGAAAAATGTGTGATTGAATGATGTCAAAATACTGTTTAAGAATGCATATTTTTCAAAAGAATGGGGCTCAAACAAGGGTAAGTGATAGATATCCAGATATATTATAAGAAAGTATTTCTAGGTTTGGAATCTTACTTTAGGAAAAGAATTTTGGGTTTATTTTACAGATTTTTAGTATTTTATGTTGTTTTTAGTTGTTCCCACTTATATTAAATTAGTTAAAACTCTCTATAAATGGGGCTTAATGCAGTGTAGTTTCCAAATTTGATTATTGAATAAAACTATGTCTATCTCTTCCAATTTCTTCTTCTCTCTCTCATCTGTCTCTCCGATTCCTCCCCCTTTTCTTCTTTTTCTCTTCTCTTCTCTTCTTCTTCTTCCCTTCCCTTTCCCCTTCTATTTATAGTGGTTATTGTTTACGAGCATCTGTTGTCACTAACAAGAGTTCAGTTACCACGTAGGCACAGAAGCATCAAACCTAATAAAACTGTTACCCACATTCCATATTACCTGAGTGTTCCATTCATGTCAACCATACAAATAAAATTAAATATTTGATTAAAGAAACAAAAACCAGCATGCTTACCAAGACTCCAGCACCTTCACCCATAACAAAGCCATCTCGATCCTTGTCCCAAGGCCTAGAAGCTGTTTGGGGATCATCGTTCCTCTGAGACAAAGCTCTGCATGCAACAAAACCTCCCAATCCAATAGGAATAATGGCAGCTTCAGTTCCACCGGCTAACATCAAATCAGCCTCGCCTCGACGGATGTGATTGGCAGCCGCGTAGAAGCAATAATTGGAGGTAGCACAAGCAGTTGAAATTGAGTAATTTGGTCCCATCAAACCAAGATCAATTGCAAGCAAAGCAGATCCCATATTTGTTATGGCATAAGGTATGAAGAATGGAGTGATTTTCCTGTGACCTTTTTCAATTAAAGCCTGAACACCATCGGAAAATACGGTAAGACCACCCATTCCAGTGCCAACCAGAACACCACCTCGCACTTTATCAATCTGCAATGAAAAGAAAAGCAATGAACCAGAAGAATATGTCTGCGGCTTCAAGATAAGAATGAAAATTGAAACATTCACAAGAAAAATAATGGAAGCAACATTCAGTCTTTCAATAGCGGCACAAACTGAATTCAATTAATTTAATCAATAAAGCAAACAAGCAATGAACTCATAACAACGGTAATATGAAAAATAGAAATTGGTTCTGCTTAAGGATAGAAGCTCAACACCAAATTATGAAATTTCACATTTAGCAGCTAAACTAATTCCATAAGACCTACCAAAATTAAAAACAATAAAAAGAATTGAATTTTCGAAATCAAGAAATCGTTAATTATGATCCTGAAATCAATATTTTTCTGAGCTACTGCTTTTGACAGCATACAACAGCCAGTAATAAAAGAATAGCTCAAAACAAGCAATAAAACACCAACCAGCAATCCAACAAAATCAATAATTTCAAAATTTAGCTCAATTATTCCTACAAATCACATACCTTCCCCAAATTTTCGCTACCTAGATTGGCATTTTCGAGGGCTTTTTTTCCTGCAACAATGCAGTATCTGAGGCAATCATCAAGTCTCCGATCGTTCTTCCCATCAATGTACCCCTCAGACTTGAATCCTCGAATCTGTCCACCGAACCGAGTGGGAAATTTCGATGCATCAAAACGGTCTATGGGTCTGATACCGCTCTCCCCGGCAAGCAGTTTCTCATAGTAAGCATCGACGTCGTTTCCGAAAACGGAAACCAAGCCCATGCCCGTAATGACCACGCGCTTCTTGGCATCAGTCTCGCGCTTGGGAGCTGAAGAAGCGGAGATGATGAAGGGGTGTTTTTTGGTGTGGGGATTCGGGGGTTTGGCATTGTTGGTACTCGAAAATAATGGGGAGGTAGGTATGGGCTTGCGGAGAGGTTCCAGAGGGGAGGGGCAGAGAGCGGCAGAGTGGACGGCTTGCATGGCTGCGTGGGGGCGGAGATTGCGAGTGTCGATGAGTACTATGTGGATGTTTGGTGCGAGTTTAGTGAGCTGTTTTTCTTTCTTTCCCAAATCAGGAAAATTAGAAAAGACCCATTTTCATTATAATACATTCATACCATTAGAGTTTGTTTGTCACTACTTATTTCAAAATCAGTTTTCCTCAACTTCATTTGTAATTAATATGAATTTATTATTTTACCCTACTTTTTATCAATGCAATCTCTAAAAATAATTCATTTTCCATTTCAAATATCTCTCCAAACAAACATTTAATAATTTTTTTTTATTTTTTTGAAACTATTTTAAAAGTAATTATTGTTTGTCCAGGCAGAAATATTGACACAAAATACCCATGTCCTTCAATGTTGGGTTGTGTTACTCGTATATGGAGTCTTACACTCCGGTTGACACGGGCCCACCTCTCCTCTCATATGGGGAGGTCGGCTCCACACATTTAGGTGTGGACCTCGACCTCTTCCATGTGAGAGGGCGGGTGGGACCGTGTCAACCAGAGTGTAAACCTTCATGTACAAATAGATTAATTCTTCAATGTTTTGTGCAAACATTTATCCTTTCATTTTGGCCCTATACACCATTGAACCGAGTAAAAATCATTGTCATCGAAATTCGTTGATAAGTATTCTAAAATAACTAATTTACTTAGTTTTTAAATAAATAAAAATAAAATAAAACAATTTATAAATTTACCACATTAAGGCCAGTTTATAAGAAATATTTGAAAAGTCAAATTGATCGTGTCATGTGCAACGTTCATCAATAATGGTTCATTAATGTTTGTTGATTTAAACTCATTCAAAAAGAATAGAGAGGCCCTCTAATATTTTATAAATTGAATTAGAGGAGTACTTAATAAAGTTAAAATATTAACTCGATTTAAGATCCCTTTAAATTACTTTCATGGACGATTACGAATCATAAAGATCATATGTAACAATGTTTTCCAAGACATACGTAGGAAATCTTTTTAATATAAGGCTATTCCCGACCATGTTTACAGGGAGAAGACTTTTTTAAAAATTGTTGGGAAAAAATAGGGTGATGGAGAAGAGACAAAAGAAATAAGAAGAAAATCGCAACAACAAGATGAAGAAATCACAAATGTTGTCAATAACAATTTTGAAGGCTCGAACAGGGGATCATTGCATCAAACGTTATTCCCTCCCTCTCTGATGTTTATGAGATGTTTAAGGATATTCGGGCAAATAGTTTAAAGGATTATAACAAGCATTGTACAGAATTTCATCAAAACATAAAGTGAAATTCTCCAAAATCTGAAGAACGTGAAGAGAGAATGAATATGAATATAAACCGGAATTTAATTGTTTTTGGAACAAGGTATGGATTGCAAGATATTTTTCTAACATCTTTCCCTTGAACATGGCTCATCTATATATAGCTCTCAACCAAAAATACGAAATGGTGCTAAAAAATAAAATGAAAAGCCACAAATTTCAAATTTGCAACCGCAAAAAAGGCCAGAAATGGTCGAATTATTGTACCATGCAACCGCATGGTACAAATCCATGCGGTCGCATGGTTCCCACACACTGAGCCCGTTTGGTCTCGACATATTGCCATGCGACCGCATGGCTCAAAATTTATTTTTTTAATTGTTGGTTTTGAACCACCAGTACACAGCAATCTCCTATTTATTCAAAATTAACAAAGTATCATATTCAAAGTATATGATACTTGTATATAAAGATTAGATATCTTTCGATTTTGAATCTAACCATAATATAATTCAAATAAAGTAAAGTCGAAAACGTAGCGTGAAGTTTTAAACCAATTATTTCATATGACAATATCGATAAGAACACACACAAGTACCACGTGTTCTCAAGTTCCTCATAACTCGCTTAGCGTTATTATGACCTTGCGCTTATCTTTTTCGACAAACTTTTAAGAATGAAACTCCAACTTTTTATTGAGGCGGTACCACCTTATAGTTTATTTAGGTAAAATTCTGCCAATACCTTTGTTTCCTTTAAATATATTTGTGTTTTAGCACTAAATTTTATTAAGAGCTTAAAACTCAACTTTCACTTCTGTAACAGCCAGCATTATTTTAATTAGGATAAGGTTATTGCAAATTTTAATAATGTTACAATTATCCACATATCAAATAACTTTTTATTACCGTTTGAACCCGTTGATTACTTTTTTAGTAATGACAGATAGAGTTACCGTTATTGGTGGACCTCTTTTATTTTAAGAATTTCAACCCCATCCTATTCAAAGTAGATGTTACTAAATTTCTATTTAGAGGTTTCATCAAATTCTCAATTGATCTTACACAATTTAAGGAAATTATTCTATCATTGATTAATTTCCTTATGTAGTCATGTCTAAGATTCAAATATCTAGATTTTTCATTGTATGCTTTTACTAACGTGACTTGACTATCACACATAATAGGTGTTAAAAAAATATTATTCAATCCCAAAAGTATCTCATAGAAGAGATCCTTAAATTACTCAGTCTCTTTCCCGATATCTGATAGGGCTACAAATTCAGATTCCATGGTCGAGTGGGTTATGCATGTTTGTTTTTTTGACTTCCAAGAAACGGCGTCTCTTCCTAGCGTGAAAACCTAACCTGAGGTGAATTTACTTACACCTGTGCTGGATATCCAACTAGCATTGGTAAATTCTTCCAATACCATCGAGATTTTAGTATATTGCAGGCCTAAGTTCTTGATTTTCTTTAAGTATGCAATGACTCCCAATGGCCTTCTAATGATCGTTATTTGGATTGCTAGTAAACCTACTAAGTTTACTTATTGTATATGTTATATCTCGTCTTATGCATTGAACTGCATACATAAGACTTCATATAACACTAGCATACTCTAATTGAGCAATCGTCCTTCCATCATTTTTTATAAGTTTTGAACTTTGATCGATTGGGGTACCATATTCTTTTAATATTCAAATGTTTGAACTTGTTTATCACATTCTCGATATAATATGATTGACTTAGATAGTAACCCCCCACTAGTCTTTATGAGTTTGTTACCTAAAATGGTATCCACATGTTTAAGATCATTCATTTTGAATATGGAAGATAGAAACCTCTTCGTTTCTTCTATACTATTTATGTGATTATTTATAATAAACATGTCGTCGACATACAGGCATATAAAAGTTACACATTCAATGCATACTTTAGAATATAAACATCTATCTACACCATTATGTTTGAATCTGAAATATTGCTAAGTCGAACTTTTCATGTCATTTCTTAGGTGCCCGTTTCAAACAGTATAACAATTTTACCAACTTGCACACCTTATATTCATTTTCAGGTATAACAAAGCCTTCGGGTTGATCCATATAGATATCCTCATCGAGATCCCCATTTAATAATGTCATCTTGACATCCATTTGATGAACATGCAAATCTTGTATTGAAGCTAAGCGAATAATATCCTAACCGATGTTATTCTAGCTACCAGTGCATAAATGTCAAAATAATCTATTACTTCTTTTTGTCGATAATCTTTGGCTACCAATTTAGCCTTGAAGGTATTTAGAGAGTCGTCATCATTGTATTTTATCCTAAATACCCTTTTACATCCAATAGGTTTGGATCCCGGTGGTAAATCGACAAATTTCCAAGTATTATTTGATATTATCGAATCCATTTCATCTTTAATTTCGTCTTTCTAGAAGATGCTATCACGGGAAACCATGTTTCTTTATACGTTTTATGGTCGATTTCCACTTGTTAAACAAAATGAATTGTTCTTGCAACATTTAACTCATTTTTATCTACTAAGTAAAAATAGATAAGTTGAGAATCAATTTCATCCGGTCCCAGAAACTTTTCAGCTCGAGTTCTCTTACTTCTTCGTGGTTCACTAGACTCATCAATATCTTTATAAGACATTTCATCGTGTGTTCCACCTAAGCTAGGGATATTTTCAAGATTTTCTCTCAATTCATTATTCGAAGATAACGAATTTTCAAAGAATTATATATCACTTGATTCGATAATCACACTGGTATCCAAGTTTAGCGATCTATAAGATTTTCTATTGTTAGCATATCCAACGAAGGCATATTTAATGCCTCTTAACTCACTTTGGTCCTATTAGAGTTTATGCTCTTGCAATAAGCAAGACACTCGTACACTTTGAAGTATTCAATATTTGGTTTTATTCCTTTCCACAATTCGTATGGAGAAACCTTTATATATTTCGAAAGAATCCTAAATTCACTTAATAAAGTTTCACCCCACAAATTAAATGGTAACTTAGCATATATAAGTATCGCATTAATCATTTCTATTAAGGTTCTATTTTTTCTTTCGATCAAACCATCTTGTTCGGGTGTCCTAGGTGTAGAACATTAGTGAATTATGTCATGTTGTTCACAAAATAAGTTAAAGTTATTAGAAAAGTATTCACCACCTTTATCACTTCTTAAAGTTTTAATTTTCTTTCCTAAATGATTTTCAACTTCATTCTTATATACTTTAAACATGTCAAAAGCCTCATATTTATGTTTCATCAAATAAACATACGTGTATCTAGTGCAATCATCAATAAAGGTAATAAAATACCTGTTTTCACCACTAGTTAACATACCATTTAGTTCACATGTATCTTTATGAATTAATTTCAATATACTAGAGGTCATCTTCTCACTTTGATATGGCTTTTTTACCATTTTTATTCTACAAAAGTCTTACAACAAAAGTCTTACATTTATATTCATTATTTCCAAAATATGAAATCAATTCATATTTTTCATGCGTTTTATAGTGCTTTTACCAATATGGCACAATTTAGCATGTCATGATGAAAATAAGTCAAGAAAATAAGCAAAATCAACTTTATTTATTTATTTGTCAACGATACATAATTTGACCATTTATTTACAATAATAGCCTTTACCAACAATTTTTTCGTTAAGAGATAATACAAGTTTATCGGACTCAAATACACCTTTAATGCCCTATTTTCCTAAGAGATTCCCACTAACCAAGTGCTTATTCACGTCAGGAATATGTAGTACATTTGTAAGAATAACAATTTTCCCTGAAGTGAAGATTATATCAATATTTCATTT